AGTACAATTGCATGATTTATGGCAGATTCTTAAATTCAGCCATTCAGTTTACTCTGAGTTTGCTTCTTCCTATTTTTAGTAACACTTCATTGTAATGCAAATGGAGTCTTCTACCAATATTCTAGAAACAAGCTGAAATGAAAATGAAATATCTATACCTATCTCTATACCTATTGCATTTGTGTGAGGGCAATGGAAAGACAGTCAATTCATGGGTGTCCATTTAAAACAAAAGCCACTTCTCTTCTAGGTTGTGAAAATTTGGTCCATCTTTGGAACAAATTTAGCAATGATGTAAAGTTCTTGGTTATACATGCCAGGTTTAAATTAAAATTTCAAAATGCCATTGTTAATTTTTAAATAATGATTTGATCAAATAGTAACCCTATTTTTTCAAACCTGATTTATAGGTTGGTGAGATTTCTTTTTATTAAGAAAAATAATTCAAGAGTTAATTTCACAGTAAAAAGCATTTGGATGGAAATTAGTCCCTTCTTTCCAAAAAGTAGAGTCTTAGTCTCCCCTCCTAGAGGCAGGGGGTCAGTTTAAATTTATTATGTAGATTTTGAAAAATGATCTGTGTGAATGCAAGCATGTATACAAGTGTGTAAGAGTATATTATTTCTGCTGTTCTGTACTTTATTTAACCATATATTTCTGATGATTATATCATATCAGCACATTTAGATCTACCTTATACTTTTATTATTTTTTTGTGGGAACCATGGGGCGCCTGGGTGGCTTAGTCGGTTAAGCGTCCGACTTTCGCTTAGGTCATGATCTCGCGGTTCGTGGGTTCGAGCCCCGCGTCGGGCTCTGTGCTGACTGCCAGCTCAGAGCCTGGAGCCTGTTTCAGTCTGTGACTCCCTCTCTCTCTGACCCTCCCCTGCTCATGCTGTCTCTCTCTCTCTCTCTCTCTCTCTCTCTCCTAGAAATAAATAAAACATTAAAAAAAACCAAAACTTATTTTTTGTGGGAACCAAATAAATATAGGGAAAGACACAAAATACATATGGTTAAATGAATCAACACAAAACAAAAGCCTATCAGGTTAGCCAAGTAATAGAACATTCCTAATCCTTCATGTCCCCTCTAAATCATCCCCATCTCTCTTTCCCTCAAAGGAAATCTCTTCTGAACTTTGATGATCATCCTTTCCCTGCTTTTCTTTAGCTGTACTACTTGTATGTATCCATAAACCCTACAGTTTAGTTTTTCCCATTTAGAATTCTTTGCCTCTGTTAGAATTTCAGACAAGTGGAGCTGTATAGTATGAATTTTTCTGTGTTTGGCTTAACCAGTGCTTTCTATTAGTCCCATCTATTTTATGTTTTTTCCTCCAAATGTCCTTCTTTCTGGCTTCTTCAAATTTATTATTCCATTTCTTTTCCTTTGCTATCGTGAAGGTTACACATTCTTTTGGAGTTCTTATCCTGGTTAGCCACAAGATTATGACATACATTTTTTGGTTCTTAAAGCCTCATATTAATTGATATTTTAGTTTCTTCATGGCCAATGCAAGGACCTGATTTCTTTTAGGTACTTCAATTCCTTACCTCCCTCTATACTTTCAAGCCATTATTATTCTGTCCTTTAATTTTGTCTGTATTTTAAACATTGTCATCATAAGTTCACTTCTTTAAATTTGCCCCATATTCTCCCTTTTCATTGCTTGTCACTTCTTCCTGAATCTTAGTCTTCGCCTGGTATCATTTTCCTTCTGCCTGTGAAAACTGCCTTTAGCATTTCTTTCACTGCTGATGTACTGGTTACAAATTCTACTTGGGCATCTTAAAATTAATTAAAATTAATAATTTCTTATTCATTCTTGAAATGTATTTTTGCTAGACTTGTAATTCTATGTTGGAAGTTATTTTCTTTTAGCTCTTTGAAGATCTTAATCTCTTTGGGCTTCCAGTAACTCTGTTTAAAAGTTAACTGTCTGCCTAACTGTTATTTTGAAGACAATTTGCTCCTGTTGTTGTTGCTGTTACTTCTGACTGCCTTAAGATTTTCTTTGGTTTTTAACCTTTCACTTTGAGTACATGTTTGTTTCCTGGTTAGGGTTTGTTGGGTTTCTTGAATTTGTAAGTTAATGTCTTTCAGTTTTGGAAAATTTGCCTCCATTTTTCAAATAACTCTTCTTACCCCTTCTCTCCCATCCCCCCGAAGTTCCTCTTATATTGCACGTTCTCATTATATCCTCTGTTTCTTATCTTTCTTCCTAGTGTTTCCATTTTTTTGTTTCTCTTTACTTCATTCTAGGTAGATCTTTCTGACCAATCAATATTCCAGGCTACTAATGCTTTGACTACCTAAACAGCTGCTAAGTCAATCTATTAAATTGTTGCTAACTTCAGTTGTTATTTCCCAGTTCTTGTAGCTTGTTTGGTCTTTTATCATGGTTTTCTGTTTTCTGCCAAAATTCTCTTTCTTGTCTCCTTGAACAAAATAAGTGTGGTTATTTTAAAGTCTATATCTAAAAACTCCAACATCTGAAGGGCTTGTGAGTTTTATTTTCAGTTATTTCTGTCTGTTTGATTGTTATTTTGTCTCTGAGTGCCTGGTTATTTTTTATTGTATGCCAGACTTTGTATTTGCAAAAATGTTACAGAAATAATTTTCAGCTTAGGATAATATCTTCTTGCAAAGAGGATTGATTATATTTTATTCTTTTAGTCTTATGGGGTACTAATACTCTGGAATCACTTTAATCTAATTTCACCCACACAGCATGTATAAGAGTACTAATGTTAGATAAGATGTGATAGTGATGCCTCTTTTGAGTGGTGCTAAATCTTCTATGCTAAGTGGGGAGATATACCAGCAGATTTCAATGAGTTCTGTGTTGGCTTTTTAACACTTACTGTCCACTAGGTAGTAGTACGTTAAGTGCTTTCCAAATATCATTAAGGTGATTTTTACAACAATGATTCTGAGATGGGTATTACTATTATCCCTATGTTACAGATGTAAAATTAACACAGAAGAGTTGGACAATTTGGCCAATGGTACATGGCTTTAAATGCAAAAGCCAATTTTTCAATCTGGTTTCAGAGCCTCTGATCTTAACCGATGTGATAGAGTGAAAGTATTCTCTAGGGGGCAAAATGCAGATAATTATTTATGCCAGTTCCTCTTAGCTCCCTTAGCCCAGTCCCTGAATGCTTAATGCATTAAACCAAAGGACAAACACAAAGGCATTAAACCAAAGGATTATGTAATTGAAATTTTTTCCAGGGGCAGCTTTTGTGAATGGTTACCAGCTTAACTTAAACTGATTTGGTGAGAGAGAATGATGTTGAGGTGAAATGAGACTTGAAGTACTGTATTATTCTGAGAAATGGTAATATTTGGAATTATGTGGGCAAGGGCCAGTAGGAGAGGCACTTATGACTTGTCTAATGATTATAAAGTTTCAAATGCATGATCTGTCATTTTGGCAGTGGTGTTGGGTATTTAGGAGAGAATCACAATAGGATTATCATGTGGGTTAGGAGACTCACTGAGAAAGATCCCAGTTTGTAGAAACTCACTGCTGTCATTCAAAATTGGAAGGAAGCAGAATTGTGGGTTAAGTGTGCGATCTCTACAGACTCTCTCATGCTGAGAGCAGCAAGTATGGAAAAACAGCATCTTAGAACTCAGAATTTTTGCTTGATTTGTGTGTGGGATTTGTTTATTGTGTTTCTTTTCACAATGACTGCCAGGGCTGTTTCAGCATGAATAGTTAGCTCAGTATCCAGAGAGTTTGATTAGCTAAGTTAGGAAGCAAAATGCTATACACTATAGAGGAAATTTACTCTGGAATAAATGTAGATCGTTTAGTCAAATTGCTATATTTTCAGCATGCTAAGGCTTCCCTGGGGGAAAAAAATGCCATAGGAACTTTCTTGGAAATACAAGTAAATAGAACTTATTTTCCAGGGAATCTAAAATACATGACCTAACATGTAATTCAGGACCAGCCAACATGACCTTGGAAGGAAAGATGTCATAAAAAAAAGGTAATGACAGGAGTGAGGCATGAAACCAATACTACAGAAGCTTTTATGAGTCAGAACTCCTGGTTGCAAGTGACAGAAACCATTCAAATCAACTTAATCACAGCCATCAAGAGAGGGGAAAGAGAGACAAATTACTGAATTTGGCTGATTTGCATATACTGATTGCATATCATTATAAATTTATACTTGTTGGAGTTGGAGAGAGGGTCAAAATGTTTTCAGCAGGCCTAAATGTACTGTGGAAGGCTCTGAATTTAAAGGGCAAAAAAAAAAAAAAAAAAAAGATGTATTGGCTCATGATACTGGGAACAGCAGGCATTGCACTAAATCACAGTAGGCTGGATCAGGGGCTAAAAAATACCCCTTCTGCCCTTGGCATTGGCCAACCTACCTTTGACCTCTGCCTCTCTTTATGGGCTCTTTAGCTCCTACTGAACATGCTTTTCCATGTTGTTAGGGAAGGGAGACACTGGTACCTTTCACTCTAGACTAGTAAGGTCTAGGACAGGTATTATATGATTTACCCACTGCTGCATGACAAATCATCCCCAAACTCAGCAATCCTTTATCACCTCATGGAGTTTCTGAGGGTCAGAAACCTGGAAGCAGCTTAGCTGGATGGCTCTGGCTCAAGGTCTCTCACGGTGTTGTGGTTAAGGTGTTGACCAGGGCTGCAGTTATCTGAAGGGATGAGAGAAACTGCCTCCAAGCTCATTGATGTGGTTGTAGGTGGGAGGCTTCAGTTGCTTGTCATGTGGACCTCTCCACAAGGCTGCTGGCACAGCATGGCAGCTGGCTTCCCTCCGAGTGAGTGATCCAAATGAGAGAAACCAAATGGAAGCCACTATGCTTTTTATCACCCAATCTCAGAAGTAATGCATTGTTTCTGCTTATTCTATTGGTTACACAGGTCAACCCTGGTAGAGTGTGTGAGAAGACCACACAAGGGTCTGACTACCAGGAATAGAATGATGGCTGAGGTAGAAAGTCAGGATGGCCGAGTGGTCTAAGGTGCTGCATTCAGAATTATGGCTGAGGGCCATCAGAGAGGCTGGCTACCACAGATGCTGCAACAGGCAGGACTGTAAGGTGGCCCAGGTTCTTGCTGCTTTCTCTACACCTGTTGCGTAATTTCATCCCCTAGAGTGTGGGCCAGCCCTCTGAATATGATTGGGTAGTCAAGACCTTGATTCAGTTCTATTATATAACAAAGGTGAAGGGATTGTTCAGATGTCCTTAAGGTCCCACACCAATTGCTTCTGAGTTAACTATAAGGGGAGTTATTCTGGGTTGGTCTGACCTAAGCAGTGAGTTCTTTGACAGAGGGTCAGACTTGAGGTAGTGGAGATACTCTGCTATTAGCTTAAAGAACCAAACTGCCATGTTGTGGAGAGAGCCATGTGCCAGGGAATGGAGGGTGCCCTTTAGTTACTGAAGGCCTCAGTGCTATAGCTATAAGGAACCAGATTCTGCCAATGGTTAGTGAGCTTGGAAGAGGACTTAAGGCCTTGGATGAGACAGTGGCTGTGGCTGACACCGTGGTCACAGCCTGGTGAAACACTGAGCACAAGATGCATTTAATCTGTGCCTGGACTCCTGACCTACAGAGACTGAGATAATAAATGTGTGTTGTTTTAAGTGGTTAAATTTGTTAGTAATGTGTTATGCAGGATAGAAAATGAATACAAATGCCCACCTTTGAAAGGTAGGCGTTCTGCCTGTCAGTCTCCATATAGTGAACCTGGAGAAAGACTTGAAAGGTGCCAAGAAAGGAGGTGGATGGCAAGGACTGCTGGGCAAATCAAACTTAGTTCTTGGAGTTTATTATAATATTTCAAACCTGGAGACCTTCACCATCTCAAGGATGTGAATCACTGAGCAACAATGGTCCCCTCTAATGTCTGAGACATTGTCCTCAATGTGGTCTGTGTACCACTTGTGACGGAACTTTCTGGAGTGTTTGTTAAAATATAAACTCCTGGACCTCACTCTAGATGAATTGACTCAATTTCTGTGGGGTATAGCTTAGGGCTATGTATTATTTTTACTAATAATTTCATAGTTTTTTATTTTGAGGATTTTGAAAATCAGAAAAATAGGTGAAGTATGGTGAATGCTTATATGCCGTTCACCAAGAACCCTCAATTGTTATTTTATCCAATTTTCTTTATTTCTCATATACATATTTATTTATAATTTTGTTGCTGAACCATTTGAAAGTAAGATACAAACATCACGACATTTTACCCCTAAGCGCTTTAGTACAGATCTCCTACAAATGAAGTTATATAATCATTTACCCTTATCACATTGAAGAAATGAAACATTGATGTATTATCTAATACAGCCGATATCTTCCAGTAATTCTCAAAATGCCCTTTAGATGATTACTTCTTAAGGTTTGATCCATAAACCCTTAGTTTAGGCATCACTGTATTTTGACAAGAATGCAGTGATTCATATGCACATCAGTTTCAGAAGCCCCGTAGCAATGTTTTGATGGAATGTCTAATCAAGGATCACATTACCTTTTGGTTACCAATGTTGTCTGTATTCTCCCCCATCTTTAAACTAGAATAATCTATGTTTTTCCGATTTAAAATTTTCTTTTTCTGCTACCTTCCACCTTCTCTCCCTTCCCTCCATCAACCCTGAATTTAGAAACTCTTCCATGATTTTGAAAGTAGCTACAGATATACTGTGTAAAGTTTTAATGATGCTACAAATAAGATATAGAAAAGCAAGGCAGCACGTGGTATCACTAGGATTTGACTGGAGTTTCATGAAAGATGTGGTACTTCTGTGGATCTTGACTCACAGATGCTACCCGCAAAGAATATAACTTGTGGGGATAAGCGTGGTGCATTTGGGAAACTAAGTGAGTTGGTTTCTCTCAAGCCACTAAGTCAGGAAACAGAGAACATCCATTTTGAAAGGTGAGTTGCAGCTTGATTCGTAAGTAATCAGAAATCTTAATTAAAAAATAATTTCCAGACTCATAGAAAAATGTATAGGCTACTTAACTATGGAAATGAAAATTATCTCTGTGTGGTGAAACTAGTGAGTTTAATTTTTAAGTGTATTTCCTACCAGTCTTTATAAAAAGGGATCATTGCAAAAGCCTGACTAGCAGCATAAATTTCATACAAGAGCTTCCCATAACATTAAATACCAATCCAGCCTTCAGAGTCATCTCAAATAATGTACATTTCCATATCTTATTTTATTTCCCCGTATTATTTTAATCTTCCTCTTATTATTGGACATTTAAGCTGCTTCCAGTTCTTCACTGTAACAAAAAGGCTTGTCCATACATCTATTATATTTCTGATTATTTTCTTGTAATAGTCCTAACAGGGTTGCTGGGGCAGAACTTAAAATAGACTCAAACTGGGGTGTGTGCCCAGCTTACATCAATTCCCTCAGAGGCTCTGGCTGTGCTATCATTCTCTGTCTCTGTCTCTAAATCATATGATCCAGGAATAAAGGACCTAGATCGAAGCTGACCACCACTACCTCCCTAAAAGAGTGAAGATTTAGAATCCTGGCAAACAGAGGCAGAAAAGATAGGGTGCAATGAGCTCAGGTGTCTGCAGCTGGGTTTTGACATTGCACTACTCTATTCCTTCCAGAAGCTGGTTTGTGCAGACCTTGCTTGAGCTATCTTAGACTTCTTTCCCCGAATCTGTTTTTGCTGTTTTGTTTATTATTCTGAGTTCCTCTCTGTTGCAACTAAAAAAAAAACAAAAACAAAAAACCAAAAACCCTACCCTAACTGATACTGATGGTGGATTGCATATAGTTACATGTAATATACAGTGATATTTGGAATCAGTCAATTCAACCTTACCGGCTTGAAAGACAGTGAGACATCCTGCTGTGTTCCGGGACAGAAATGTAAAAGCTCATGATAAGTGGTAGCCAAATATCTCCTCCACCTCTTACCCTCAGGCAACTGGACCTCTTAGAGTGAATCTCTAGGTGTTTGGATAGCTGTTTCTAAAAGGAGAAGAGTAGAGGTGATGAGGCACCCTGGTGCCACAAATTGTGTAGCTGGGCCTGGTCCAAGGTCACGGTCATTAAGTGGAGGTGATATGATTCAAACCTAGGCAATCTCACTCCATAGCCTTGGTTCTTAACCACTTCTTTACAGTCCCTTGCCAAATGCAGCTAAGTATCCTTTATATGAAAAGAAATTAATGCCAAATGCCCCTCAACTATAGAGATCCAGAGTTAGCAAATAAAAACACACGATTTCCAGTTAAATCTGAATTCCAGATAACCAACGAATGATTTCCTTTAGTATGAGTATGTCCCAAATAATGCATAGAATATGCTTATAATAAAAAAAGTATTAGCTTATCTGAACTCAAATTTAACTAGACATCTTGTGTTTTATCTGGCAACCTGTACATGGCCCAATAGCATATCTTTATTCAGTATTGCTCTCTCGGCAACAAAAATGAATATAAATTCAGCACATACATACCACAAAGGGTACAGTGCAGAAAACATTTCAGAGGAACTATCAGAAGTTCAGATCTACTGAAATCATTACTACATCAATACTCCCCAGGCAGTCCCTGTTCAATGAGCTAACCTAGATGGCCTGCTTTCATTTCAAGTTTGATGGCTTGGTTAAGTGCAAACCATTGCTGAATTCAGTCCTACTCCAAGTGACTGAATATCGGCCCTTCTATCATTCTGGAGCCTTTCTTGCTTTTAAAGTCTGCCAGAACTAGGAACATTAGTTTGGATATATGTGTATGTGTCTAGCCCACCTACCTCTCATTCTGTTCTGTTCCTGGGGCTCAGAAGCATCTTCTTTCCCATGAGAAACAGATTACTGAGCCAGGTTGCAGAACTCTTTAAAAAATGCACATTGCTATCTGTTTTTGTAGGCCAGAGGAGACTGCAGAGGAGAGAGATGCACTGAAAATGGGATCCCTAAACTCAGCAGAGTTAGGAGGAGTCACACTGAAAGCAACTGATTGCAGACTCCAAGCGGGTGTGGTCAGAAATCCAAAGGCAGTGCAGTATTCAGGGCTCAGGAAAAGTCAGACAAGCAGACATTTTTGGCTCAAATTAAACATGGCGTCTTCAGGAATTAAATTGATGAGCCAGCCTTTTAATTCTGTTTTGTTTCTTTTTATACTTTTTTGACATAGAAAACAAGTTTCATTCTTTAATTGCCATCAATGTTGCAATGGCTAAACCAAGGAACTAGATGAGAATGTGTGAATATTCACATATACATCTTTTGAGCCCTTGAAAATATCCCAGGATATGGTATTACTTTTGATCAACTATTTGGAAGGCACGGGGTAGGCAAAATGCTGCCATTTGTTTTTCCTACTCTAAATAGCCTTTACAGAAGTCAGGGAAGTAGTTAATTTGAGGATTCTAAAAGTTGCCAAGGATAGACATTCCCGTTACATACCCAGAGGAAAAAAATGTGTTATAATCCCACAGTGACTAATGTGAGTAAACTTAGCTGACCTAAACATAGTTTTTTCAGGAAAATAGCATCCACTTCAATTATTTACAACAGAGGGAATTTAATGCAGGCAGTCAGTTAATAGATGAATTGGAAAATCAAGAAGATGGTAGTGAGAAACTGGGGCACCTGGGTGGTTCAGTTGGTTAAGTGTCCAACTCTTGATTTTGGCTCTGGTCATGATCTCATGGTCCATAGGATTGAGCCCCATATTGGCCTTGTGCTGGGAGCACAGAGCCTGCTTAAGATTCTCTCTCTCCCTCTCTCTGCCCCTCCCCCACTCACCCATTTTCTTTCTCAAAACAAATAAATAAACTTAAAAAAAGGTAGTGAGAAACTCATGGTATAGTAGGAAGTCGCATCTGTGGTGGGAGGAATTGATACTATGAGATCTCAGGGATGAAGTCACTTCATGAAAGCTGGAACCTTGGCAAGTTTGTCTGTCAGGAGCTTGAGCCATAGAAAAGATGGAGCTGGTACCAGAAAAGCTGCCTAACATATTATTTAATCAGGTGCTGACTCTTGTAACTTCTGTCCATATGTCGTCTCCTCATTGGAAGAGATTTTTGCAGTGACTGAGGCAGATC